ATGTGTCCGTGCGCAAAAAATCTGAAGTCGTATATCAGAGGGAAGGTAAATGCAGCTATTAGTTTTCTTCACGAGTGCCAAGAATAAACAGTAGAAGCTCCATCATTTCTAGATAAGAACTTTAGAGTGCATAGTTTACATTCGACTTGTACATTCCCTTGACATTGTAGTAAAACCCTTCAAAACTTCCTGGACAGTGTTTTGAAGCTGCAACATTTGTTGAAAAGCTACTTTGAACATGATCAAATCGTTCTTCTGAAAGTTCATCAAGAAATACTGTATGCTTAAACGATACATTGCTTCAGAACCAGTTTCATGGGCTCTAAGGCTTCTACTATAGCGGTTACTATTGAGGACAGTATTGAGAGACCCAGTTGCAGCCAATTCATAATCTATATAAATATCTCAAAGACCATTTTCCAAGGAATCTTGAAAAGGCCACGCACTTGTGGAATTCATTTAGTCTGACATAAATTTGTTGGTGAAATCGTCTTGTTTTTGCAATCTTATTGTTTTAAGTTTCGCATAAACTGCGTGGTATATGAAAACAATAAGAGACTTTAAACTCAATGATTTCGCTATGTCAAGGCTGCATCACTGTGGTGATCGCAGAGGGTCTTGTTACACTAGCAACTACGATCGGTAAGTGGCCAATATGACCGACAGGGGATGCTGGAACTCGTTTGATTAATTCATTGCTTCCAAACTGTCCTGGATGGGGTCTTTGTATTAAAATAAAGCAACAACAAAATACCCCATCAGATGTTAGAAGCAACGTCAAAACAATTATTCCAAACGAAAAATCAACAACAAATTAAAATAGTGGACTGTTCTATAAAGTAAAATTCTAAAACCGTAAATTAGGACACTTTTTTTTAAGGAATTATAATACTTGTTTTAAAGAATGATGGCATATTTGGCTCTATATCGGGATAGTCCCTCGGTGGATCAGCGGTAAGTTTTCGGACTTACATTAGTCAAATCCAGGTCTTGGTTCCCCCGCGGAGGACAAAACGCAGATAGCCTATTGTGTTGCTTTGCGCGAAAACTTTATAGGGATAAAACATCCATAGTTCAAATTTAAAAATTTTTTGTTCTAATACTGTTTTTGGGAATTACAACTTCCGAGTGAATTTGAATCCAGGAATAACATAAGATGGATATACTTATTTAAATATGTTACTAGAAGCATTTGTATTGATGTTGGTCATTTTTACCATTCTAAAGGCTTGATCAAGTGACCTGGCAGAATCGTGGACAGACTACATCTTATGGTTCGTTTTTTTAATTTCGCGCAAAGCTACACGAGGGCTATCTGCTCTAGCCGTCCCTAATTTAGCAGTGAAAGACCAGAGGGAAGGCAGCTAGTCATCACCACCTACCGCCAATTCTTGTGCTACTCTTTTACTAACGAATAGTGGGATTGACCGTCACATTGTAACGCCCCCACGGCTGAAATGGTGAGCATGTTGGGTGGGACGGGGATTCGAGCCTATCACGAGCACGAGGGTCAGCCATCTTGGTTTACAGCCACTAAAGCAATGTGGTTGTTTAAGAAAGTAAGGGAACTACTTAGAGTACTGTTGGATATATATCTATTTAGCATGCAAAATTAGCTATAGGTATAGAAGGGTGCTACTTAGTAGAAGTTTTATGATAATTTCTTCTTTTTTTATACCTTTGATTTCTGAGAAAAAAACAAAACATACCTACCTTTTAGTCTACTGTTGACATGCATGCTGCATATTTTGCCCCGTTGCCTGTAACTGTATCATTATTCAAAGATCTGATACGTAAGCAACAAACAAAATACAGTGCCTTGCAAAAATATTCACCTCCTGCAAAGTTTCTACATTTTGTTGCCGTCTGAGCTTGCAATCGTGAAACTGTGAAATGGGACTTTATATTTAGAATCTACACAACCTACTCCAAATTGAAGAAGCTAAAAAACGTTGATATTATGTAAGTAAGTTAGATTTTCAAAGAAAATTAGAATATCTTTAATTGCATAAGCATTCAACCCCTTTGCTACAGGCCCCCAGTGGCACAGCGGTATGTCTAGAAACCGGGTTTCGATACTCGTGGTGGGTAGAGCAATCAGCAAGTTTCAATTTATATACATTTTTCTTTGCAGAATTTGCTGAAATTCAACCCCCTTCACACATGATAGTGTTAAGTTGGATCATTAGAGTTTTGAATAGAAACAAGTTCATTGAAAAAACAACTGTTTACATTATTTGTATTTCATCAAAATGAAATATCATTGGTAGAGGGGTGAATACTTTTGCAAGGCACTGTATGTATGTCAAAACAATACTGTAAAAATCTAAACGTTTCCCAATATGTTAAAAACTTTTTTAATGGTAAATGGTGTTAGTCATAAAAAATGTACATAAAGTAATACTACGAATCTGAGAATATTTCTCACGGGAGCTAACATTTCACTAAACGAATGTCTCGCCCCCCCCCCCCCCAATGGCACAGCGGTATATCTGTGGACTTACAACGCTAGAAACTGGGTTTCGATACCCGTGTTAGGCAGAGCACAGATAGCCCATTGTGTAGCTTTGTGCTTAACTTCAAACAAACGTCTCTAAAAGCAATGCTTTCCTGTGGTACGTTGTCATTTCCAGAAGTTAGGCAGACCGTACTACAGCCTATCGCTCAAAATGTTTAGTTTTGATTAAATAATAAATAAAATACT